TTCTCGTTGAATGTCAACTGGTCCCCTGGTGTCTCCCAAGAAGTTCGTTTCGGGCTTCAGGCCGCAGTCAAATCCAACGCGTTCTAAAGCACAACACTAGCAGTAGCAAGGAGCAAAGATATCTAATGACTGACGACGTAATAAAAAAAATATTAAAATATTCGAAATGATAATATAATGATATACGACCAAGTGGATATACGATGAAACACTGCTAAATTGAAAAAGGATAAATTTTTAAATCAGTGTGGAAGGAAATTGCCAACAGCTGGAAACTTTACCTTCGCAGAATTTGTGATATCTAATCTGTGAAATTTATCAAATGATTATGGTTATCTGATATCTTTGTTTTAATGAGTAAAACACTGATGGCAGCTGCGGTGTCTCCGTTGCGAAAAGATCTGTCATTGAAAATACACATTATCTTATGATACGGCTCCATTGTCCTGGGACAAACCTTTCAAAAATTGTCGTTGGAGAGTTGGCTACCAATCTGTTTTGTAAAATATTCACGTAACTTCCAGTTCTTCTCCTTTAAATTTTGGAAAGCTCTCTGCAAAATGAACCTCGGTATTAATTTTGCTGAGGGATGGCGACGACCTGATTAGGCGTCTCTTACAAAAGCTGGGTACAGAGATACACATTTCTTTTCGCAGCGAAGACCTCCCTGAGCCTCTGACATTTAACCTGTCAGTGGTAATCACGGCTTGACATTTTTATGCCAACAAATTCTCCCGTCAAATTTTTAGAAGGTGAATCTGAGGCACCAAAAAATAACTCATGAGTAAATCTTTACCATCATACCATCTACCGTTTTCAAAAAGGACTGCCATTCACTGACTAGTTCGAAAGACGACTCTGATGATTTCGAATGGACAGCACGGAAACATCGAGAGAAAGATCATCATTCATGCCATGTTCAGAGCGAAGACCGTATGTTGCTCTAAGATATTTCTTAAAACGGTTCATATATCACAATATCAATTTTTCTAAACCAATGACAAGATTTAAGTCATGACATGCCCTTTAAAGTTCGTCTTCGACTCTGAGTGGAAGAGATTATTATTATTCTCTGGCTATTAGGTTAAATTTTTAGATTTATTCTTATTCACTGGTTTTATGACCCTGTTAAGCATTTCATAACAGTCAGCTGGTTTTGATGACCGTTTATCCTTTTGGACCGCCGCGGTAGGCGCGTCACACAGTTTCTCAACATTCCTGATCCCGTGTCAGCGTTTGAGCTTTGGCAAAAGGTTACCTCATTCTGGAGCATAAACCTTCCAGTCAATTGCCCGGGATCTTCAAATTGTCGATTCAGCAAGGGCAACTGTTTCGCCTTCCCAGGCATTCGCAGGACGTGCCCAAACCGTCGCAGCTGTAAATTTCAATCTAGAGAGGCAGAGATTCACGGTAATATTAATTTTAGATTTTTAATTTACGTTTACACCTTCCGCTGATTGTTCGTCACCTGATAGGTTAGTCAAGACGACTTGCAGCTGTTAAGCGCACGCATCAGACAGCATAGCCGTATGTCTCTCACTCAACAACTTTACCACACCAAAGTACCATGCTGTCTTCCTTATTTGCAACTGAACACTCAGCTACCCTTGTTTCGACTGGTTACGCCAAAGCACACTGGAATGAGTTCTTTGCTCAAGAAAATTAATTTCAGTTAATAAGAGAAAATTTACCTCGCTGGTTGGGTTAGATACCGCAACGTATGAATCAATCTATTAGCCAACTGCACTACTGTCCTCACCATTCTGTTAGGCTACGTGTCGAAAGCATCAATAGACTGATATTATGCTTCCTGATGATTCCACTTTAATATTAATAAACTTTCTCGTGTTATTTGAGCATCACGAC